TACACAAAGACACACAAATACATAGGCACACATAGCTAGCTGTGTATGCAGACACAAATAGTACCATGTGTGTAGGCTCCATGCAGACACAGGTAGGTACATGGAACCACCATGTAGGCCCACATTCGTGGCTATGTATACACAGCTGAGCACATGTACATGCATGCATGCACGTGCACAGAGGCAGAAGGGTGCACATGGTGCTTGCATGCATGTACATATTGCATGTGCATGTTTACGTAAGGATACACCTGTATGCATATACACAGAGAGCTCTCCATGTTAAGCAGTAAGGCATTCACAGACATTATTTAAGACAATGCAAGAAACCTAAAAGTTCATAAAAGGATCTAAAGAACAAACCAGATGATTTGGAAATTCAGAGCTGCCTCTTAAATTACTCCTAGGCCAGAGAGTTAATAAAATATGGGTGACAGGCGGTTTTACAATTATACAGAAAGAGAAACTGCATGTCCAGGGAGCAGTTTCAGGAGGAGTTGGTGGAGAATTCACAACCTTAAATGTTTTTATTACTGAGCAAGAGCGACTGAAATAAATGAACTAAACATTCGACACAAGGAGGGAAAAACAGAACAATAAAGTAAATCCACAGGAGGCAGGAGGGTAAAGATAAAGGCGGATTAATGAATTGGAAACAAGAAAAATGGGAGCGCCTGTCAGTAAATCCAAGAACTGGTTCCTCTAAATAAATAAATAAATAAACAAATAAACAAAACTCTGGCCAGTCTAATCAGCAGAGACAAAAAAAACACAGAAACCCACAAGGATGAGGGGAAGTCAGAAGTGCAAAAGAGATTGGAAGTGACAGTTAACACAGCTGATATTCTTGATAAAATTGACAGTTTGAACACAATATAAATTACCAAAATTAATTTAAAGGTGCTTTTTTTTCTCAAGCCTATGTCCATAACTGCAGAACAATAGGAAAAGGTGTGTTGTGAGGCTCCAGCTGGGGGACTCGCATCCAGTCCACCACAACACAGGGGCAGAAACCCACAGCTCACAGCGTTCCCTGCAGGACCTAGTGTACCTCAAGGGGCCAAAATCCAGAACAGCTTGTAGAGAGCCAAACTGGGGTCCAGGGAAAGACTTTCCAGCAGGCAGACAAGTGAGTGGCCAGCAGACAAAAAGGGCTCAGCCACCTCCAGGAGCACAGACTAGTGGCCATGGTGAGGGCAGGGGCTTCTCCTTGGCTATTCAGGCAGATGGGCTGGAGGCTGTGGACCTGAAGCCACTTGTTGTGGCCCCGACCTTGAGCCTAGGTCTTGTGTAAACAGGACCTCCTTGTTTTGAGGTTAGGAAGAAAGAAGGCAGGGTGTGCTGTGTGGGTGGGGTATTACTGGGGCCACTCACCTCAGGAACAAACAAGGATTTAGCTACCTACCCTCTGAACTCTATCCAAGAGCTCCATGGTCCCCCAGATTGTCCAGATACACAGGGGCACAATGAGGGGGAGCCAGCCCCATTTGCCTCCACTCACGGATCTATGTGATTTTACATAGCGAGCACATGTACCCAGTGCTGTACCTTAGGGAGGGTCTTTTCTTTCCCTGCTCTCAGGAATTGTGAAAGGTCAGTGAGCGTGATGGCACATGCCACCCTCAGCACTTGGGTTGGGGCAGAGGCAGGAGGATCAAGAATTCAAGGTCAGCCAGGCATGATGGCGAAGGTCTTTAGTCCCAGCACTTGGGATTCAAAAAAAAAAAAACAAGAATTCAAGGTCATCCTTTGTTTGCCAAGCCTGGTGACCTAAGTTTGATCTTCAGAACCCACATGGTAGAAAGAGAACTGGCTCGTACAAGTTGTCCTCTGCATGAGTTTATTGTGCCTGCATGTATGTGAATGCAATACCCTCGGAAGTCAGAAGAGGCATCAGATCCCCTGGAACTGGAGTTACAAACGGTTGTCAGCCACCATGTGGGTGCTAGGGATTGAACCTGGGTCCTCTGCAAGAGCAATTAATGCTCTTAACCACTGAGCCATCTCTCCAGGCCCATAAATGCAATTTTTAAATTGCAAGTGCTGTATCAATGCACAGAACCACACTCCATCAGTTCTACTTTTCCTGTACTTACGATTTCTTCTTTGACCTATGAGTTATAGAAAGTACAGCTCTTGTGAAATTTTTACAATAGCTTTCTTTGCTTTTTGTTATTGTTATTTATGGTCAGACGGTTTATGTCAAATACCAGTATTTCTTGACATGTACTTCATTTCTTTCTGGTCTATTCGTGGCCACACTTTTGGCAGGTCTCCCACATACCTGAAATGCTGTAACTTCCTGTTGTTAGGAGCACTGCTTGGGGATGCATGTGAGCTTATGCTCACAAAGCCAGGAGAGCAAAGTCTGTCCTGTTTTCTCTACTTGACCAGCATCTTTACCAGGATGGGGACTGAGGTCTCTTGTGAGTCTGCCGGGTTCTACCAGGGCTTTGTAGCTTCTGCAACTAACCAATTTGTCAGGTTCCTTCCCATTCACAAGAGATTTTATGTTTTCACTTACTATGTATTCAAACTCATTTTTACCATCTTATTTGGTTCCTGGTTCCTATTGTCTCTTCACAAGCCCAGGCCTCCTGACTGCATCCAGCACACCAAGATGGCCCCTGTCCCAGGGGCTTTGCACTTTTGTTCTCACTGAGCAGAACATGCCTCCTTAGAGGCCACCCCACTTTCCACTCCACAAGTGAAGGGCACCACCTAGTGCCCAGGGACCAGCCAGGCCACACTGTAGAAAACCTGAGGCCAGCCAGGGTTACTAGTATGCCTACAGAGGTATCTGTACCTGATAGGCCTAGGCCAGGTGCTAGGAGGACACAGGGCCACATACATTCAGGATCCTGTCTCCAGTCATGTCTACACCAACAGGACCTGTTCTATCTGAGCCCCACAGGAACTAACTGCCCAGGCCAGACATCACAGGCTGGAGTGTTTGGGCCCAGGAGGGGACACCTGTGATGGTGACACTAAAGGAAACAGGAACCAAGCAGGGGAAGCTACCTGTGAGCCCAAGCAGGTAGGCAGGGTCCCTGGTAGGCTGGAGCCATCAAAAGTTTAGCCAAGGACAGGCAACGGCACCAGTGATGCAGATGACCCCACTCAGACCCAGGGCAGGGCTGGGGGCCTGAGCAGGAAGCAGAGGCAAACATATGCATAGGGGGTATTAAGTCAGATAGGACCTGTGGCAACAGAGTAACATGCAGGTTACTGCCAGTGGCCTCTAAGCTCACTGCAAGAGAAGCCATAGGGATATGGCAGGTGGGCAGGAGGTTGACAGGTGGCCCCACCTAGGCCTGGCTGGCCATGTAGCTACTCAGGTGGGCTGTGCTAGGAGGGGCACAAACAGAATTCATTCTGTCTCTAAAGTCCTCCCTCCAGCAGGCCAGGTGGCTGAGAGGCCCTCCTTTGGCTTGGGGGACAATGGGCAGCCCTAGAGTGATATCCTGAGGCCAGGGAATAGGTGGGCTCACACAGGGCACTAGCAGGCCACAGCAGGGGGTTAGGGACAGGCTTTAAGATCTGAGACCAGGGGGCTGGAGAGATGGCTCAGCAGTTAAGAACATTGGCTGTTCTTGCAGAAGACCCTGGTTCGAATCCCAGCACCCACAAGGCAGCTAAGAGCTGTCCGTAGCTCCAGTTCCAGGGGATCCGACAACCTCTTCTGTCCTCCTCCAACACTGCATGACACAGGTGCACTTACCTACATGCAGGCAATACATACATAC